TGGCACATTTTTTGTGCAATCTGCAGGGTCCAAAAGCCATAAATACTGGGGCATATAGATAAGTTGCCCAGGGCCCAGTAGGGGTATATAAAGTTTCGCATTTGTCATAGGGGCATTTCGCCATACCCATGCCTTTTAGGGGTATCTGGCGAAATACCCCAACTTTCAGGGGCATTTGAACAATTTTCTCTCTTTTTAAAAATTTATAAACTAAGCTATATTCTTCTCTCAATTTCATTTTTCACTATCTACCTACCAGTAGTCCTAAGCCTATACAGGGGACCCCCTTGCTCTCGATTCTCTGGTTTGTGACGACAGTTAGGGAGTTGGCAATGGGAGTGGTAAAGGCAGTTCGGAGGCTGGCAGCCCGGTTTATCTGGAAGCCTAGAGCCCAAATTTCAGAGGGCTTTATATCCAAAGTGGCCATGGATACGCTGTGCTTCCCACGATCTGAAGGTGGTCTGGGCCTGACGGACCCTGCTCGCAGAAACCAAACTCAATTATGCAACTGGATTGCCAAAGTTGCCACGATGGGAACCAGAGAACAATGGGTAGCAATTGCAGAAAGGATCCTAATGAGTGAGTGGGAACTGAGCAGGCCACAGGACGTGTGGGCCTGCTTTTTCATACCGTCCTTCCGCAAGAAGAGGCTCAAGTCGGGTTTCTGGGAGCCTATTCGTCGTGCATGGAACCGGGCGCCCCCGGATCAGCAGAGCTCACCGACCACCCAAGAGGAAGTGTTGAAGCAGCTGCTGTTTGAAAACCCGGCAATCACAGGTCAAGACGACCAGACATTCGCTGCAGATGGGTCCGCGGGCTCTTTTGGCCAAGCCTGGGTACGCAGAGGGGTAGTCCGGATCTCAGATCTGTGGTCAACCCTCCTTGGCAGCTGGAAACCGCTAGAAGAAGTTAGACCCGCACTCAGAGGGCTGCAGAGAGTCGAGGAACACTGGCGACAGATCATTAACGCCATACCCCAGGAGTGGAATGCCCGGAGGGGCTGGACCCAGTAGGCACTTGGTACATCCCCAATCAAGAGAGTGAAGAGGGAATGCTTTGGAAGGTACTGGAAATCCTCCCCAGTGGGTTCAGAAGGATCGAGCGATGGCGGTGCGAAGGCCCAGCAAACACACTCTCTCGGGTGGAGGAGGGCACAATCCTGCTCTGGGACAACCCAGCACAGGCTCGTGTGGTGGAGATTTGTAGGAAGAGGCCGTCAGCCCACATCTTCACCTGGGTGGGTAGAATCCCACTGAGTCAGCTGTGCATTGATTCCTCAGCCTGGAGCTGGGCTCCCAGTCCAAAGGACCGAGCGATGGAACGAGTAAAGCTAGATCTGGGGAATTACTCTGTGTCAGCGGGGTACAAGCGTCAACTCCTCAAACTGAAATCACCGGCAGAGGTGGCAATCCCGAGGTGGCAAGCTGTCTGGGAGGAAACTTATCTGATGCATCAGCCGAGTTCACAAGACTCTGGGAAACCTTGTCTGCACTGCCCAATGGGAAACAAGTCAGCATCCTATGGTTGCTGTCAATGATGGTCTCCCCCTCAGCTGTATGGCTTACCAGCAGGGGAATGGAGGTGAACCTGGCCTGCACAAGATGCAGGTGGCCATTTGAGTCCACTAGGCATATGTGGTGGGACTGTCCGGCCTCCAAACGAGTCTGGAACTGGTGGTCGCACCATTGGAGGGAAATGGGAGGTCAGGGGGTGGTCTGGAGTGAAAAGTGGGTGTTGCTGGGTTTCCTCCCCTCGGATGTGAAGGCGAGGCGTGGTTGGGGCTACATTGCACATGTGGTGAGAGGCCTACTCTGCGAGACCATCTGGTTGGACAGAAACCGGTCCCGGTTCCTGAAGCGTCCCTTCTCAGATCTGGAGCTGAAACGTCATATTAAACTAGGGTTGAAACACACAATCTGGGTCGACTGGAGATGCAAGGCGAAATCCGGGAGAGGCAACTATCGCCAAATGCGCTGGTTCCTCCACACCTGGGCAGAAAGCCAGCAGCTTGCAAATGTACACCCAAGAAAGGGGCTGGCACTGTCAAAATGGGTGCTGGACACACCGGAGTTTGGTGCGAAGCCTTGAAAGAACGGTGTTGAGAGTACAGGAAGACCAGGGGTGGGAGAGGTAGTTCTTAGATGAACCAGGTGAGTGTCGGCAGCAGCCGGACGCGGCCCTCTGGGCCGAGTTAGCCTGGGAGTTGTTATGGTTTGCATTGCATCCGACGTGCTAATGTCAGAGATAGGTGACTGTCTATATGGTTGTTACGTCTTGTAATTAGTGCAATTAGCACGCAGGTAAAGCTGGCTGTTGAAAAGTGGAGTACCTAGTTATTTCTGTCCAGCTTAGCTCAGTGTTTACTGGGCCCGAGGGACCAGGACACTTGGTCCCTGCTAGGGTCGCGGTGGACCGCTAGGAGAGTGTCAGTAGGACTGGGACTTTTGTCCTCTGGGCCGCGCTAGTCCCAGATTAGCGTAGGGTAGGCACCTACTGGGTTGTGCAGCCATGTGCTTATGGAATGTTTCTCTGAAGATCAAAGCTCAAGGTTCTGAGACAGGCGCTACAGTAGTCCTGGTTATCATGGTTACAAGAGACCAGTTTCGGATTTAGGTGCTAGATTTGTATTTTTGGGAAGTGTTCGGGTCAATTTGCTGGATTGTCTTTTGAAAGGGGGGAATTTGGTCGTGAAATTAGTACTCTGGAAAGTTGGTAGTCCTATCTTTCCGCAGACTTATGCCTGTAAGCTAAGCTGGTGAAGAATTTAGTCATGATATTAGGATTCTGGAAAGTTGGTAGTCCTAACTTTCCGCAGGCCTTCGCCTGTAAGCTAAGCTGGCTGATGCTGTCAGTACTCCGGGTTGAGTTGTGAGGTTCCCCGGCCTCTATTCCACTTTGGCAATGAATTAATGACTTTGGTTGAAAAAAAAAAAAAAAAGGAAAAAAAAATAATAATAAAAATATACAGGGGACCCCTGGAAGCATACCTCTCACAATCAAGAGATGCATGTTGTCCCTGCCCTAATAGACGGTGGTCAGGGAGTAGGGTGGGGCCGTCTCATGCAAAGACCTAGCATTTTGCCAGTAGCTGCGCTGCTCCCTCTACTTCCCCCACCTCCCATTGAGTAGCAGCAGTGGCTATGGCCACTCCTGCCCATTGAGTAGCAGCAGTGGCTATGGCCACTCCTGCACACCACACACAAACCACTCACGCTCACACTCACCCCCCTGTAGGTCATAGACACTACTAATAGAGCAGACTATCACTATCACAGTCGGTTGGCACCGAGTGCACCACAGACGGTCTTTGGCCTCGAGGCCACACGCTCCTGAATGCCCAACCGCAAATGGTCGTTGGCGTAGAACCCACACCCTCCTGAATGCCACTTGCATGCCTAACGAACTGAGCTAGGCCTCTGGATGGCCGATAGAAGTTTGCTAGTTCTTTACGTTGGTGGACGAGCTGGAAGAAAAGGGAAAATGAAATGTAATATTATGTCAACAAGGGGGCTCGCCGCACCACTCACCAAATGTGCAAAATGAGAAGGTATTTTCTGATAGAACATGGAAGTGTACACACGCCATACTCAAACTTTTCACATTTGGTGTGTGGTGCGGAGAGTCCCATAGTGTCACGTGTGGTCGGGCTGGTATTCGTCTCTCGTCTAGGGCGCCGACGTGGGGGAGCCAGGGTGTAAAGAACAGCAAGAAAATGAGAGCCCCGGCGCTCCCGTGTGGCGGGAGTCCTTTGTCTCCATTTTCCTTTTCGGAGACCCCGCCGGTTTGGGGGCCAGCATCCTGCCCATGTGGCCGAATGCTACACTGACGTAACTGTTGATAGTCGAACCTGTGTTCGAATCGAGCGACAATATGGACCCACCGAGGAGCCTAGCTCAGTGGGTACACCATTCAACTGTTAAAATACGGCCCGGTGCTCGAACCCAGATGACGGAACTTGATGAGTAAAACCGAATATTTCTGAATCGCCGGCGGCCGGTCAGCTCAATGATGATAACAAAAACAAATGATGATATCTCAAGACCGTCACCCTTTAATTAAAAAAAAACAAAAACAAAAAACGGTACGGACCTCGCCACATCACTCTTGAAATGTGAGAAGGACAAATGTGGCGGGTGCATCTGGCCATGTTTTGAGTTCATTCTCATTTTGCACAACAACATTTCGAGAGTGGTGTGGCGCCCTAAGAAGCTCTGCAATACCTGGGGCGTGGTCCCACTAGCTAGCAAAGCGGATCGGATCGAATGCCTGAATCTGGACGAGTTTATGGAGATGTGCAAGAAATCGCAGATTGAACTGCTTTTCTGCATCCCTGCTTAAAACACATCCAGATTCAGGAGCTCGATCCTATTCTTTTTCCCCCTTTTTGCTACCCTAGTGGGACCTCGGCCCTGGACGGGGTTCTGTTTCGACGATTTCGACGATCATACGTCGAGGCATCGAATTTCGACGATGATACCTCGAGGCGTCGAAGAAAAAGAAAGAAAGTTTTCGGGCTGTGGGCCGTAGGTAACGAAATGCGAGGGGGACTGCGGCCGGCGGGGAGGGTCGAGCAGGGGAGCTTTGGCCAAACGGCCGAGGAAATCGAGGGGGGGAAGAGTGGAGAGGGCCAGAGATGAGGGGAAGAGGGGCGGAGGGCGCCGAAGAAGTGGAGGAATGAGATGCGAGCAACCGCCGCGTGCAGCCGGGATCGCCGGCCGAAGGGCGGCAGGGCGCGGCGGTTCGAGTCGTTTTCGATCCAGCGTGTGCGTTCGTCGAGTGATGAGTCAGAGCGGGATGCGAGGGAGAGAGGAAGATCAAGAGAGGGAGGTCGTGGTTGGCGGGGAGACGAAAGTGGGGCCCCTGAGCTTCTGGTGAAGCGCAGCTTTTTGGGTTGGGGAGGCGTAGGGAAGCGAGCAGTAGCTATGCGGGCTGTGTGCCGGTCGTTGGCGCGCAGTGACGTGTTAGTGGTCTCGGGGCCTTCGGTTCCACGACGGCGAGGACGGTGTGGTCTGTGTGCGCAACGCTTGGGAGGGGCGGTTAGGCGAAGTGTGTGGAGAACGTTGCGACAATAGCGAGTGGTGGGTTTTGGGAGAGGACTTGTGCGTGACAGTCAAGTCCGTCAGCGGTCTTCTCGGCGGGGAGAAGAAAGAGAAGAGGAGCAGGAGCAAGGGGGAATGAGAGATGGGGATGGGGCCTGGGAGGGGTAGGGGCCGAGGCAAAACAAAAAGCACCCGCGTCGACTCGCCGATTGTAGGTGGTGGGTATAAGAGAGGCCGGTGCTCTGACGCTATGAAAGATATGGAGAGTCCCGAGTCTAGCAAGAACACGGCAGCATCGACAGGCATGACGAAGCTGCAACACACCAAGAGCGTGGACAGCGGGGCTAACTCTTCCCGTGCCTCTCAACGGTTAAAGATCAAACAGTCCGTTTGCGAGAACGTGCTCAAGAGATTAGCTGAACTAGGTTACGATGGCGTGCATACGGCGGAATTCACCGAGCAGATGCACGCACACTTTCACCGGCTCCCAACACGGTAAGTCCTGCCCCGAGCACACCTGCGGTGCGGTAGCCAAAAGCTATGCTTAGGTACACTGAAGTTATGCTTGCGCAGGTAGCGAAGACATGCTCGCACTATTATAGTAGGATTGCTAGCCTTTGTCCATGTATTCCAGGACCGCATTGAAGGTCAAAACTGGGTGGAGAGAGTCGTACCGTCTTCGCCCGAACAGAACGCATGGTCATTATCCCTGTACGCAGAGTGAAAGGTGCCTCAAATACGGCTGTGATTACCGTGCGTTCTATTCGGCTGGAGGAGGTAGCGGGGGTGAGCGCGCCCAGGACTCGAACACAGGGGAGAGAAATCGAGCGGAAAGTGGGGACGGTGGTAGGGGAAGGAGCTCTCGAGTACGGTGGTGCTCAGAGCAATGGCTGGGACTCGGTTGGGGTTTGCTCTACTGCTGGGCCCACCGGTCCGTGGACCTGTGTCGATATATTTTATACCATGGCCTGAGGCCATGCGTACACTTGCACTCTTTGGAAGGGATCTGGCCGTAATTGTGGTCAGATACGTTCGAGAAGAAAGTCCTTGTGTGCGCATGCCCTTCAACTAGATCAACTCGATCTCAGTTGAATATCAAACGAGATTCGTCAGGGCCAGTGCTCTGAGGGTATGTATGTTTTGTCAATCGGATGTCCTGCCATATATGAACGGTGGTTGTAGAAGGAGGAATGACCGGGTGTGGATGGATAGATGGGAGCATGGTCATCCGATTGAAGCCATTAGCAATGTATAATGGAGCTATGATGCAGCACATGGATGTAAATTAATGGATGGATGGATGTGATGGGTGGATGTGATGGATGGATGGATGGATGGGATGGGTACATTTCGTTGACATTTCAGGAAGGAAGGTGGTTGCTTGAAAGAAATTTGTTGAGAATTGGGTGGAGGCGTCAAGAGGTTGATGAATGGATGGATGTATAGATGTATATATGAATGCGAAATTGGTGAGTGCATAGATCGATGGATGGATGAATGGATGGATGGATGGATGACTGGATGGAATGTCAAGGGGGAAAGTAAGGCGGATGGAAGGGATAATAGAAGGGGAGGGGTAGATTAATGGGGGGAGGTTGGCAGGCTGAGGGGCGGGCTTTGTGGATGGAGGACGAGGACGGAGGGGGGATTAGGAGATCAAAAGGATGTGTTTGACGTGGATGTAGGAGGTACCTTGAGGGGGATGGAACTCAGAGATGGGAGATGGGTTTGAATGGATGGACAAGGGGATGGACGAAGGCAGAGTCGAACTTGTGACACAGCGCGCCAAGCTGTAATGGCAGAGCATATCGAAACACACATACACGCACACGCAGAGGAGGGATGGATGTGGGGCCCAGATGCTTGACAAGGGGAAGAGAGACAGATGAACGATGGATGTGGGCCGGATTTCTGCAAAAGGGAAGGGGAAACTAGCTTGGCGGGTTGCGATGATTAGTCGAGGGGCTCTGCCCTGCTGTTGTCTCGGAGATTTGGATGGGGAGTGGGATTGCTAGAGAGAGAGAGAGAGAGACAGAGAGAGAGAGAGAGAGAGAGGGAGTCGACGATTACCTATGTGGGTGGAAGGTCTTTTGGCCCATGGATGAGTAGACCCAGCGGGCGTAGTGCATCGTTCGTGAATGAGCAGTCTCAAGTGGAAAGGGGAGTGGAAAAAAATACGGGAGGGAGGAGGGGGAGGAGGAGAGTGAAGAAGCTGAGAATGAGCGGAAGGAAGACGAGAAGAAGGGATTGACGATGAGCAGCAACAGGAAAGAGGAACCTGAAGATAGAAGTAGCAGTAGGAGGAAGACAACACACAGACGTAAATAGCTGTGGTGAGGCATTCGGGGAGGAGGTGGGTCTTACCGTACGGAGACGACCGTCGTGTGAGTTGACCGTTCTCGCCCGTGTTCTCGTTTTCAGTGTCAACTTGTCCTTTGTGCAGGTCCGAGACCACTTCCACAGAGAAACACGGCGTCTTATCCCCACTGGACGTATGGCTTCTTCTGCGTTCTAGGCGTCCTTGTCAGACTCTTTATTGTGGATTTGAGTTTGCGTTTATTGTATTTGTGCGTGCGTGCGTGCGACGCACGCACGTGTGTGTGTGTGTGTGTGTGTGTGTGAGAGAGAGAGAGAGAGAGAGAGAGAGAGAGAGAGAGAGAGAGAGAGAGAGAGAACACTGGTAGGAGCGTGAGGGCGTGAGTTGGAATGTTTTGGTAACCTGCGGTGGTACCGGGGACGGGGGCTCGAGTCCATATCTAGAGTAAATCGAGTTGGGATCTTGGGGGTGAAGGCTTGGAGAGGTACAAACCGTAATGATTTGGGATCTTGGCTGTCGATCCTGCTGTGTTCTTGCTACGCCACGAGAATTGGAAATTTATGGCTGGCTGTGGCAATTTGGCATGAGGTTGGGTTTACTGGGATGAATCGGATGAATGCGAGGATAGCCGCGGCTTACGTGCCATTTTGTTTAGGCCTTCGAGATGGCACTATCCTCCGTTACTTCTACCCTTAAGTTTTTCACCCTCAGCGATTGAGAAAACCACTAGGTGAAGAAACTAACGTTATTTACTACCCCCGCCGCCGACCGACGATATTTGGTGAGCTGTTTTCTGTTGAAGTCTGTTCTATGAACAGATCCAGGGAGAGCATGCGTCACCTGGTCCTGTGGTATCGACGGGACCCCGGCCGAAGTATAAATAGATATTTTTATTTACTTTTACACTTGTTTCCCTGGTCTGCTTGACGAGGACTCGCCTCTGTAGTGTCATCAACGTCTGGCCGACCCTGTGCATTCCATAGGAGAGGGTCTGAGCTCTTTCCGGGGACTAGGTCCCACTTACACGAATTAAGAGATATATTGACCGTAGATAGCACAGATCAACGGTCAGAATCTCGCAATCCGTGCAAGTGGGAGCTTGCCCCGGTGGGTAGGAACCATTCCTTGCAAAAGTGTCGGAGTCCGATAAGTACAGGTCGATGCGAATATATGGAGCCGTTTAGTCTCAGTTCCAAGTAGTCCACTGCTCTGTTCTGCTTTTATCGCTTTGATTATAGTAGGCAGGATTTGAGCGCATGGTCTGTTCTGTTTTGCTCTCCATTATCGCTTTCCTTTGTATCGATCGATTATGTCAGGACTCGAACTCATGGTTTGTTCACCAACAGTTACGTGTGTACCACCAGTCATACACATCGGCTGGGTATCGCTCTTTTTTTGTCATATCTTCCTTTTCTTTTCTTTTCTTTTCTGTTGTTTGCTTTCCTTTTCTGTTGTTTTCTTTCCTCTTCTGTTGTTTGCTTTCCTTTTCTGTTGTTTTCTTTCCTTTTATGTTCTTTTCTTTCCTTTTCTATGGTTTTGGACAATCGTGTTTGGTGGAGATGGTAACGGTATGGCTGGAAAAACAGATAAACAGAAACGACAAACAGATATATATAGAGGAATAGGTAGGTAGAGTAGATACGGTATAGGTAGATGGATCAAAGAACTGACGGATGGTGACAGTATAGACATACAAATAAGTAAGTACGCTAGGTGTGTACGAGGACTTCGCCTGAGTTCAGTGTTCTTCTGTCGATGGTTCCGAGGACTTCTGTGGTTGATCGAAGCTTGAGCCGTTTTTTGTTGTTGGAGTTTTTCTCGTTTCTGTTTCGTTTCTGTCTAGAACGTGAATTTTTCGCCGATGATTGATTGTGAGAGCGGCTTCCATGCGAGGGAGAACGATGATGAGACCTGAATGGTGCAGAAAAATCGGTAGTGTGAACATCGGCGCCGTTGACAACCGATGATGATGATGATGACGATGATGATGACGATGATGATGACGATAATGATGATGATAATGATGATGATGATGATGATGATGATGATGATGATGGTCTATACCTTTGTTCTTCTTCGTAAGCGAGTAAACTCTCCGTACGATGTTGCTGCTGCTGCTGCTGCTGCTGCTGCTGCTGCTGATGATGATGATGATGAGTAGGAAGGAGGAGGAGGAGGAGGAGGAGGAGGAGGAGGAGAAGGAGAGGGGGGAGAAGCGAGTTTGATCGGAGTAAGAGTGACTTTGTTTTTGGAAGCTCGGGTTTGCCTCTAAAGGAATAGTGATAAGTAGAGGCCATAGACTATAGACTATCTTTCGTGCACGCTTCGACAGAAAGTTCCATACTCATCCGCATCATGCACTGAGCTGAGAAGAAACGCGCTCATTGCCCTACACGCACGTTTCAGCCAGGAAGCGCACCTGGCATCATCAGGGGCCTTCTCTCGGGATCCGCCTTACGGCACCCACCTACTTGTCCAGCCACTGAGTAATGAGGGTCGGCACAGCGAAGCTTGATCTGAGTAAGACGAGGATTACTGCTTTTAGTTCCAATTATACTTTTAACAAATGTTTCCACTTTGATCTTGCGAAATATCCTTACTTTCTTTGGCATCCACATGTATAAAAAAGTAGAGGAAATTCTAGCAGACCATTCATAGATAGGCTGCATGCGCGACTGGTTTTCACGCCCTGCCTTGGCTTCTTCCGTTTCATGTGTCACCCAGGCCATACTCACGCGCGGACTTGTACTTAAACCGTATTCATGACCACATTCATTCAGTCCATAAAGTTTCAGTTTGAGTATTTGAGTAAGGCCTCAGAGATCGCGAGCAATCGGAAGCGTGCATTCTGCTTCCCCTTTGAGTTTTTTTTTTCCTGTTTTTTTTTTGCTGATCTTCTCTGCATCGTTCCAGTTTTACCTCTTTTCTTTTCGTGTCGTGGAGGTGATTGCGCAATGATCGTGGAAAAAAGACTGTTTTTGGCTTTGGCGCTCTGATATCATGTGACAATATATGACAATATACATCGCGAAAACTTATTGCCAGTTACTGGCGATTATTAACTATTTAGTATTAACGGAGGTATTAATGCCAATCCAGTTTTGAATGAACGATTACCATCATGACATGTTAGACGATCGAACGGTCAGTTAATTGATTAGCGGTTCTATTGTCGACT